TGTACTGAACGCGAGTATACATTTAAATTAAATTAGTTATTTATTTCACGTTTTAAACCGTTAAATTGTTTTATTTAAATAGGCCTTCCTTATTATTATCAAGGAGTTAAAAACATTTCATATTATCTATAATCATAGTAATTTATTGTCACAAGACATATAAGGTGTGTATGTATACAATATTTATTTTTTATTTGACAGTTGATTTATAAAAATCGCAAGTGTTGTCTATAGTTCACGCGAGTATTACAGATTAAAAATATTTTAAAACTCGAAACATATACTTAGCTCATCTTTTATTTGAATACTAACCGACGTTTCGGATGTCAAATGTGCTAGCGCCATCTGTTTCCCAGTTATTGGTATTTGGAGAAATAGCAAGATCATTACTGTAACACATAAAACGGAACCGAACGTTCGATTGCGGTTGAAATATAAGTTGGTAGACCCAGTGTTTGTTAGTAATTTCGTGCGTACTTACTATAAATTAGACAACGTAAGTGATGTTTAGACAGGCAACAAAAAATCTTGTTTAACTTCCTGGTTTATTTTTAAACTGTTTTTATACAATGTCATTTTGAAGAGGAAAATCCAAAAGCAGACTTAGGAATTACGTAGAAACAAACAGATTCAGAATGTAATCAATATGAAAGTCATTATTTAAGATAACCTAGGTTCGAGACCCGACTGTGTCGAGAGCATTCAATTTTTTAAACTATGGGACTTATAGATATCAAAAACAGATGCGCGAAGTTGTATCCCGTTTATCGTTGCTGCGGGATTCGAACGCGGGACTTTTTATGCTTAACTGTGCTAGGCAACGCGTTTGTTCTTTAAAATACGGAGGCGCTTTTGAAGATGCAATTATATTAAGAGCGAGCCGTTTAAGGTCGTTTTCCAAAAAAACGTAAACCAGAAAACGTATAAATAAGGAAATAAACACAATGACCTTTAATGTAACGATTTTTAAGTTAAAGACTGAACGAAATCACTTAAGACTTAATTGACTTTACTTTCAGTAGAAAGTTGACATTAACAAGAGAAACCATGTATTGTCTGAAGTTAAGGCGAGTAGTACTCATTTAAAAAAAAACACTGTTTGTCGTTTAAAACGCGAAATGTAAACTAGATGGCGCTAGCGTAGCATGTTTTTACTTTGACATTTGACATCTTTAGTCCCTCCGTGACCATGGCAGCTGCAAAGCATTTGAAACGTCGGACGTTAACTTTAAAGTTAACAAATACATTTCTCGTTTAAAGCCGTTAAAACTAACCGTAAAACGTTAAAAAAAACCGTCGACATTGCTTTATTCAAAAGTAATGTAGACTTTATTACGAGATGAAACAATTGAAGAGATTTAAGGGCCAATTTGGCGAAAATAAGAACTTTCAACACGCTTTAATTGAATCGAAAACAACCGATAAAGATAAAGATATATACTTTAGGTCAAACTTCGAAGGTGTTGAAAAGGGACAGCCAAGTGCGATGTTGTCTTTGGCATGAAAGTTTTATCACTAAAATATATTCAGTTATTTGGTTTCCATACAACATACATGTTTTTTATATGTTTAAAAATATTACAGAAAATTAATTTATCTATTTAAAATTACAGGAAACAAACCGAAATATCACATTAACATATCATAAGGAATTGAAAGTAAAAAACTAAATACAGATATTTGTGTTAATTTTTACATAGAATTACACAGATTCACATTGCAAATACAGTTAAATGGGAACACAATTAAGACTATAATAGTACTTAACAAAATATTTATATAACCAAATTCTTTATGTAAAGTGAACAAACGGGAGACACAGAACATTACCTATAGTCGTAGTCCTAATGCCCGTCAAACTAATAAATCTATACACGCTGTTGTCATATATGTGTATATCTATGTTATTGCTACATACTGTGTTGTATGATCGAATTATTCTTTTAATCGAGAAATCAGCAGTATTAGTACCGTTGTAAATAAAAGTGTATCTATGTAAAACTCTATGCGGTTTGATGATAGACACTCAGACGCACAAGAAAGTCTTCAAAATTGGAAATATTCTCTTGACTTTGCCTTACGTTGACATGTTTCTTAGTATTTTAAATCGGTTTTTTCATGACGTAATCCAGTTTGCTGGAACCTAGCAAGTTATCACTGATCTCATATTTATTCACGATTGTAGAATGACGCACAAACATACCGTTTTTGGTGACAAGGTTAGGCAATGAAATTTTAATACTTTTTAAACTTTACATTTTATTCCGATAAAGATGCGTGTACACTGTTTACAAATAACCTTTTAACGGTTATAACAACGAATCGATCTTTCGAATGCTCTTGAAAGGGGAGGTCCCCTACTATTTTATCTAAATGTGTAGGTACTATTCGCGTAAACTGCAGACGATACTTGTATTAAGTATTAGTATTCTATTGTGTCTCTGTTTCACTGATCTATCTAAACGATGTATAAGTATAATATAATAGTTATTTTACAATCAAATAAATATTAATATAATCATCTAAAAGGATCTAATTATATTATTTTTTAATATAAAATGCAAACAAATATTATCGTTTATTTTTCTAAGACCAAGACTTCCGATTGTATTATAAAATTTGTATTTTTTTATCTTTACTAATTTATAAATGGGGAGTTTGTTTGTGTTACGCGCTTATTTCAGAAACAATTGGTTCGAATTGAAAAATTATTTTTTTTGTTGGTTAGAGTATTTATCAAGGAAGGCTATCAAAACATCTCGCTGCGATTAATGGAAATGGGCCGAAAAACAGCGGGAAATGTGGAAAGAAAACGGGAAAAAATATTCATCCTTGTGGGAATGCGTTGCGTATGCTGTAATACATTTTTATAGAGTTGAACAGGAGGTTTACTCAAAATTGATGCCAGAATTAACTATTACGAGTACGAGAACAAAGTCGCTGACACAGCTAGATGGTTAATAAGTGTAGAACTATATTTCATTTCAATCGTTAATTGTTTCATTAAATAACATGCCCTTTCCCTAACAAATTGCTACACATGTATCGGATGACGTAAGTGACCTTGTTGGAAAGCTGATCTTCAGTTTATTGCATTATGACGCGAAAGCCATGAGAAAATTGTGCTCTGTAATTAATGGAGCGGTTCGTTCGAGTATTGATTTATTGCTACTGTTCGTAATATACTCTGCCATACAATGATTAATATCTATATCAAAAGTGAAGGTTTAAATCGTGTTTGTACTATGTCACTGTCTATCATGTTGATATTCGTTGCATTTAAAAAAAAGTTGTTTGTTTGTATGTAAATTAATTGCTAGAATAACAAATAAACTGATGTAAGTTATATACTGAAGTATAATAATAATGCTAAGCGTAATATTTAACAAAATAGGGCGATAACACATCTTGTTTAAATGTTATATGGGATATTTTACCTTCTGTCAAGTGAAGTCCGTGCTCGTTTGTCCTAATCTATAATTAAAAAAGGACGAACATTGAATCTTTTTTTTAGCAGTTCTTTTTTTTATACAAATTCCAATATTACTTTACTCATACAATTTTGTCTACACGTGGCTTAAAATGGACGATCTAATTCTGTACTTTACGCGAGTAGAACATATTTGAATTTAAAACTTTGCTTACACTTTTAACTATGTACTTCGAATTAAAATGAAAATCCGAAACGTCATGCCACAGTTAAATTAATATAAAATGTATCAATATAAAGCGTTTTAAACCGTTAAAAATGTTTAACGTAATTGTAAAGCTATTTTTATAATTTTCTGTTTAAGTAAGTTAAGTAAGGAGCGTTAGTTAATAAATCTCAGGGTAAAAAGGTGAGTTGTCGTTCAACCTCGCTTGGGTCAAGTTTGTTTCCGTCAAGTCATTACGGCAACTATATAAATAATTGGAAATGCCATGTTTCGCTAATAATGTCTCTTGCATTAAATTTTATACGCCATGTTTAAATGTTCACGGCCGTTTGGTCTGTTGGCATATCCGTTGCATCGACCTTTTGTGACTCATTTTATTTCATCACAATACAGCCTTTTAATCACAGTTTGTAATATAATATGTTATTCCAATTTCCAATTAAACGGCGTTCAGTTTGGGATCCAATGCCGGGCTTGTATAATTTCGGCTATTGCAACATGTCCTTATTTTTTCACAGAACATGTAACATCTTGACATTATTTAATAGACATTAAAGTTTATTCGATTTATCGGTAGAAATAGAACCCACGACATGCCATTAAAAATGAGCAAGTTGAAATAATTTTTCTTCTTTGTCGTCTTATTGTGTTTTATTTCAATGTGTACTAGTCGCGTAAACTATAGACAATTATAAAATTGTCATTAAGTTAGATAAATATTTCAGTATGATCACGATACCGAAAATGTTCATTTTTAAAACATGCAAATAGAACACTTTTCCTCCCTCTCGTGACAATCTATAGTCCGGGTTTTAAACCGTTAAAAGCGTTTTATTCAATCAATTAGGTGTTGTGCAATATTTTCCACTTACACGGCTCCCGCGAAGATGGTGTCACATTTGCACAAACGGTTAACAGCCATCTTCCTGCCTCTAACATTGAACTACTTCTGGCTTGAGCGGTCAGCCAAGTGCACCGAGCAGATACAAATAATTCTAAATTACACCCAGACGTTGTTAACACTCATTGTTATAAATTGTAATTTGTTATATTAGATCTTTATATTAAAACGCGAATCAATTTCTCGGCTCTTTCATATATGGACCGTGATCTGGATGGAATTTTCATATTTCTACCCACCCATTTAATATCCAGATTTCCTGATGATGTCCAACATGTCTGAAAAATGATAATTGATTAGAAACATGATGGACGAGTCCAAACGGGGTGGTGATCCAATCCAAAACTTGTTGACCCTATAAAACGTGATTGTGTTAAGTAAGAGCTTCTTAATCCTTTGCTAGTGTTGTTCCAATTTATTAAATTTTATTTTTTCCATTTCAGATGGCGCTCAGCTAACAACATGGCGTGGCTTCGCATTACTTCTTGCTTTTTAGTGGCATCACTACTTCTAAATCCAACTTCTGCTGCTATCTGCCCGAAAAGCTGCGTTTGCAGTACAACACGGGATGGCTTACACAGAGTGGCGTGTAGCAATCTGGCCGAACTCTACAAATATACTTTGCGCCACAAGCATCACAATATCAACATTTTAGACCTCTCGCACAATAATATAACGAAGATAACCCATGAACTGGATAGACTAACCGAAGTCGTAACTCTAGATTTGTCCACCAATCGCCTTAATGACATAAATAAATTCTTATATAACGCCCGTAAACTGGTTCACCTTAATTTAGCTAACAATAGAATCAAACAATTGTCATTTGTACACTTTCCGAAGAGCGTGAGTTCCATAGATCTTACGAATAATTTATTGGAGAATGTGCCCTCAGATGTTGCACACCTAAATGCCTTAGAGCATTTAGAACTCGAAGGAAATCCACTGGATTGCTCCTGTGATAACTTAATTACTCGGGACCAATTACTTGTGTCTAACGTTTATATAGATAATGTTAAGTGTTGGACACCGAATAAGCTTAAAGGCCGTTCATGGCTAGAACTAAAAACAAAAGATATTTGCAAAGCGTCTAAACCAGATTATTTAGATATGATGATGGGTGACCAGCCACTTGATGCGATGCGTATAGGCGAGGAAACATCTGCTTTGAGATCGATGTCTTTAGTAGCAGACAACGACTTAGAAGATGGGAGCATCATTCACGGCCAAGAATTAGCCGAGGATGATGATAGTGTACAATTTATGAAAGTAGGTCGCTTATCAACTTCTTCTCCTATAACGGATATAGAGGGATCTGGCGAAGCTGAAAGCACTACTTTAAGTGATGTCAATGAACCGATTCATGAGCGTCAAAAGATGGGTAGTCTTCTAGCTGCTGAAGAAATACTGCCAGCAAATATTCCTACTACGGAAAAACCTTTAGACAGTTTAGTAGAAGGTTCCGGTGAAGGTTCTGGTGATGGCTATTTCGCTTTCGACTATGAAGAACAGACAGAAAAGATGCCAGAGACTACTACACCTATATTTGAAGAATTGAATCCAGAGCCCGTTCATAAGATATTTGATGACGAAGAAGACCTCAACGGTAGCACATCTGAGTTTCCCAGCCCAAAACCTCCTTCTATATACGAAGGTGGTGCTGATTGGCACAGCCGAAATGCTGACACAGAAGTTGAAGTTGATACGGAAAAGGCAGTAACACCACAGATCACCAGAGACACAACTGTATCTGAACAAATTCGCATTACACAGGCATCTGAAGTTCTGGGTCAAATACCAAGCACCGAAGAAGTAGTGACACCACATAAAACGGGCACATATGTGTGCATCGCTCTTATAGTTATTCTTTTAGTTGGATTAATTGGATTTGCAATAGCTAAGGGGCAAATGAGAAAACGAAGAGATAGGCGACTCTTAAGACAGCAAAAAAGAGACGTTGAAAAAGCGTCTAAAGAAATGGTCGACATGAATAAATCGCTACTGGGTAAGCCAGCCGCTGTAGAAGCTCCTATAGATAAAAAAACAAATGGAAGATATGAGCTCGTACCAACACACGAAAACTCTTTAAAGAAAAGCGAAAATGGAGATGTAGCAAACGGAAAAAAACAGAATGACGACAAACATATCCGAACTGATAGCCCGCGTGACACGAATCAAAATAAGAGTAGCTCTAAAGATAACAATTTAGTTGAAGATCCACAGCAAGAGACGTCATTTGACTCGGAGCCGGCGTCGCCTGCATCTGGCAACAGACATTCACTGTCAAGCGAAGATATTTTTGTTCCTATTGACGACGATGCACCGAGGCTAAATGGAAACGATGTTTCAGATGCCTTAATTAACGGCGCTGCTGATTCTGAATACCTTACACCGTCTCGTGAATATGTCCCAGTATACTCGCCTGATATGGGAAGAGTGCGTATAAAAATGTCCGAAACGCCCAAGCCTAAGACACCGGTGCTCGTTACGAGGAGTAGATCCAATGCTGGCGATATAATAATAACACCTTCTCTAGATGGAAACGCACGTAAATCGGCTACTTGAGAACTAGTTCAACCGGGAGCTTAGAAGGATTGTATATAATATTGGTGTCAATTAACAAACATTTTACTATTGGCAATTTTCTGTGATTTTTCAAGTGTGTATCGTAGGGGACTTTTAGCCGGTTCGTTGGTAATGACTGTGTATTTAGTACTGCCAAAGTGTGTTTGTAGTCGACAGTGCCTTTATTTGTAACTTATTAGTATATTTTAAGAGTATATTGTGCGATAAGTAAAATATTTTTATACGTGTATAAAATGTTGCCATGTTTATTAGAGTTACATTTTTATCGAATTCATAGGTAAATGTTAATCTTGTCGCCCCATCCCTTAGCATTTGTATTTATTTCACGATCTAGATATTTCTGGTTAAAATTTTATTTCAGTTTCAATGGTTGTGTACTTACCTACTTGTTGTATCCATAATTTACGAATACGATATACAGTAGCGCATCGTTTATCCGAACTAATTGGTTGACATGAATTTTCGAAGTGTATTTATTTGGCTACGTGTTTTCTATAACAAAGTTACAACTATCTACAATCTTTGTGTGACGAAATATATTTTTGTTTTTTCTAAATTACTGTTCGGATCGTTTCGGTTAAGTACTGTTCGGATATATGTTTGTTCGGTTAATCCATGTTCTACTGTAGCAACGAATGTTTGGTACCACTTTTGATCTTGGCTATTCTTCAGAGATTCGTTCTTGAATTATTTAAGCTTAAGTTCCTCTAAGTAATATTATAATTATTTAGTTTTTAAGAATGTGATACCATTTATTGTAAGTAACGAACGCTATCGTAAGAATTATGCTGTTGGAAATAATTCGTGTATATTTTTTAATGAGTATCTTTTATTTCAAATTTAATTTTTTAAGTATTCCTGAATTTTATCTCTGGACCCGTTGCATGTAGTGCTTGTGACTTATTTGTATAGCAATAATTTTTATTGAAGTGAACTTGAATCTAATCCATGATCAAATACAAGAACAATAGAATTATTCCAATGTAAAAAAGTTTTATAAATTGTGTAATTTTATTTTGAACGATATAAAATGTTAATTGAAATATGTTGTTTTTTTTTTGTTACTCTCTTAATTATTATCTCAATATTGAAATACATAGTTGCATAATAATAATTAATATTTGTGACATAAAATGGATAGTCTTTATTTATAAAACATTAAACTTAACCTACAAAAAAGTACTGTTTCTACTCTCTCTTTTAAATAAAAAATATTTTTTTATAATCAACAGACCGGGGATTTATCACGGGGTGTTGGACCCCGATTTTTTATTTTTTTTTTCTTTGCTGTTCTTTGCCCTATATGTTCTAAATCACCCTGGCACATGAGAACAGACAAATAAAGAAAATAAAAAACCAGTAGTACTATCTATATTAAATATAGATTTTGAAAACATTACTTTAGACAAACGAAAAAAAGTAGATTTAATTTTGACATAAAAAGTCACGATCGACCTCTCCATTCGATAACTTGCGTCATCTGTCTCTCTCTAACTCGTCCGCATAGACGCTACTAAATAGTTTATAGTAATACATTTAAATTGTATTTCTTCTAACTTTGCAGAAGACTACAACAAATATGGCTGATTTAAAATCAAAATAATAAAAATATCATTTAAAAAATATGATATTAATACTGTCTATAGTTACGCGAGTAGTACACATTTAAATAAAACACTTTAACGGTTTAAAACGCGATATATTAGTTAAACTTATTTGAAAATGATTTTTAACTTCGGCCCGACCTTTTCGATTTTTTTCAGCCCCCCCGGGCCCCGGGGCCCCCCCCCCCCCCCCCCCCCCCCCAGCGCACATTTTCAAATAAGTTTAAAATATATCGCGTTTTAAACCCGTTAAAGTTTTTATTTATTGATATTCTTATTTAACTCGACGTTTGTAAATCTTTTTAGCGATCGTTTAGAGTGGAAGTTCTACCTTCTATTGTCTTTGACTTTGCTTGTATCCCATCCTTCCAGGCCATTAAGTATTCAAAAAAAAAAAATCCCAAGCTTATGTAAATGTCAAACTAAATGAATTTTTAATCTGTGTATTTACGTAAATTAATTTTTAAGCTTTGTATTAAATTTAGTAAAAAAATACTGTTTGTTCATTTGTTTAATTTAAAATCCAGTGACTAAAACTGTTTAGTCAACAATTTAAACCTTGTGAAAAATTACGATTTAAATTTTAGTTTGTTGTGTTTAGTTTGTATAAAGCAAAGTTGGAAAAATTACACTACACATGTTTTCGTTAAGTATGAAGTGCAGTGAAAAGTGAATTTGGTGTCAATTGCTTATAAAAACGACAATTGCGGCGTTAAAGGTAATGATTCTCTCGATGTTAAATATATGTTCAGTATATTGGCGCCGAATTCTCTACAAATCCAACTAAATTTGAGTTCAGTGCATCTTTTTCTTTCTACTTAATTAGGAAAAGGATAGAAGATAAAGTTTAATGTAGCCCTGTCAAATTAGTGAGCGCTTGATGTAAATTGACGCATTTCTAGTGGAGTGTTCAGAATATGTATCAAACAAATATAATAAAAATTTTCTTTTGAAAATTTCTATCAATATTTTCTTATAACTATTGTTTGTTTTTGAGAGAAAATATACACATTTAAAACAGAAGATACTGCCATCTATACCTCAATTATAGTAATAATTGTAGTAAAGTGCTTATATTATAATATGCACCGATAATTTACTTCTACGCCATCTCTTAATAGACATGTAAATGAACTTTTACATTTAAACGATGGTTTTGTTATTAATTTTTGTAAAAGCAACTAGATGGCACTGAATACAAAATAATGAGAAAAGGCGTGGACACCAATTCTTATTTTACACTTCTGGTTGTTATTAATCAATCAGCAAAACACATTGAAACATTAATTAACTTTATTCGTATTTATAACTAATTACAGTGAAAATAAAATTTTATACAAAACAAAATTTCTAAACGAAATAACTTACAATAAATAATAATTGCGTAATTACTTTAATAATAATAATAATTAAATTGCTAATTTTTTGAGTCTGGCTTACAAACAAAGCATGTCTTATAAGTGGTATCTGAACGAAGATCGATTCGTCTAATAAGCTAAAAATTACTTTCCCTTGGAACCTCGGTAACCGAATGCCGACGGTTTCTAGGCCGTTGTGGTCTCTCCAACTCGGCCTCAACTTGTACCGTTACATTGTCACTCTCATTATCGTGATCTGACATAAGCCTTCGCCTTACACCTGGTGACTGATCTAACTCCGCAATCTCATGACTTCCATATTTCCTTGACCTTCTTCGACACCGTCTTCGGCTATCGACCGATGTTTCTGTTAATTCTAAGTCTTCTATGTCGCCATCTCTTTCCGTCTCCTCGAGTAAATCTCCACTCGATTTAGTTTTTCTCCTTCCCCTCTTCTTCCTACTTTTACCAGAACCTGTTTCGTTTAAAGAATGACAAGAGACGTTTAATTTCGGCATAGAGAGAGCTTCGTCATAGGTGGGTGGTGCTATTAAGTCTCTAGGATCAGGCGTGTTACACAGAGCTTCCTGTTCAGCGCGTATTCGTAGCTGCCTCAGTCGATCTCTCGCTTCTTCTACTTGTCTTTCTCTTTCAGCTTGAATGGTTGCTAAGCGACGGTTCATTGAAGATTTAATCCCATTCACTAAAACGAGGCATAAAGCCAACCCTACGATCATAACGATAATGAACCATATCAAGTTCGTTGCGTTCGTGGTTCTTTCGCTCGGGTTCCATGTGAAGTAGCACGCTTCTAACCAGGTTTGTCCGACAACGTCCAGTGGACTATGACACATCAGGTTGTACGATTCCTCTTTCTTATTGGGTTCAAGGGTGACGTATTCGTAAAAGTCAAACATGTTTTCATCCAAACAATCGCAACGCCACATATTATCGGTTAAATCCAGATTCTCCAGATAAGGATTGGATTGGAAGTAGAACCTGCTCCAGATGATTGTAAAACGATTACCCACAACCCCTAATCCAGTTAAACGAGGCAGCATGAAGAATGTGTAGTTTCCTATATAGCTGAGTCTGTTAAAATTAAGATTCAAATATTTTAACGTGTTCGAGGAAAGACTATCTGGCAGTCGAGATATTAAGTTGTGCGACAAGTCAATATCGATTAGCGATGGCAATCCTTCTAAGGAATCTTTTCCTATTGAATTGATTTCGCACGAGCTCATATCTATGATGGAGAGAGATGTAGACTTTAGGTGCCCGACATTAGTAAGATAATTCCTTGCTAACTTTATCTGTGTCAATGATGGCATTTCGAGTAGACTGTTTTCCGGTATTTGAGCTATTTCATTCCAAGACAGATCCAAAAACTTAACTGAACTTAATCCTCTAAAGGTATTACTAGAAATCGAACCAATATTATTATACGACATGTCAAGATATTCTAATTTAGTATTGTTGATGAATTCATTACTTGGTAGCGATCGTATCATGTTGTGGTTGATGATAGCTTTCCTTAAATTTGGGAAGCCTTTTAAACTTGGTTGAATGACATTGCAGTAGGAGATGTCTAAGTATTTCAACGATACAGAGGATAATGTGTTGACTGTCGAAGATATTTCCAATCGATAATTGTGTGACATCTTTAGGTAAACTAACGAGGGTAGATACGATAATTCGTTGGGGTTTATGTAACTTAACTTACAATTGCTTAGGTATAAACTTTTTAAGGTTGGAGAAATAAGATTTTGAAATCTGAGCAAGGGATTGTTGTTGATTTTAAAAACCCTTATATTTATAAGTCCACTCAACGGTGATCTGCCATGGATGGATTCTATTTGACAGTTATCTAGTATAAGGGTTTCGAGAGAGGGACTAATGAGGAGTTCTTGATTTGCTAAATTGGCGAGGGTCTTGAATTTGTTATGTGAGAGGTCTAGAATTTTCAAGCTAGGCGTCTGTTGGAGAATTTCGTTGGGATTCAAACTTATCCATGTCTCAAAATTGTTTCTCGATAAGTTCAGCACTTCAAGCAATGTCAGGTTCTGTAGAGCATTTTCTGGTATGTCACTGATGTGATTGCTGCTTATGTCCAAAGATACTAAATTATATAACGTACTTAAGGACGAAGGAAATAGTGTTATTTCATTGTTGGAGATATTTAGTTTTTTAACCTGCAAAAAAAGAAATTACTATTTAAAAAAAAATCTAGAAACGTTTGCATTAAATGTATTGTTTTGTAAGTGTTTCTTATAACTAGCTGTGTGAGCGACTTCGTCTGCGAGAATCGTTATTTGAGGCATCCATATTCATTTTTGCAAACCCCTTCATAAACGGAAACAACATAAAGTCTCGGAAACCCATAATGATGAATTTTCCCAATTTTTGTCATATATCTCGCTGTAACTTTGCTACTATTGACATGACGATGTTTTATATCCTATAGTCTTCCTTGATAATTAATGTTCTAACTAACACAAAAATATTTTTTAATTCGAACTCGTAGTTCCTGAGATTCAAACAAACGAACTCTTCAGCTTTATATATTAGTATAGATTACTGCCTACACAAATAGGAACATCAAATTAAAATTTCGGTGATGAAATTTTACTACATCGTAGTAATTTAAGCTATATTTCTATAATCAAAAGTTAATATACATAGTTGTTACCATAAACATAACTCCGTTAAGACTCATTTCATTCTACAATTTGTTTTTGTTTTTTTAATTTCTTTGACCTACCTTACTATTTAATCCTGCAGGAAGATTAGTTAGGCCTCGCCTAGAACAATCCACGCTGGTTTTATCGACATTGCATATACACAGATAGCAAATTTCACTGTTATTGTCATCGAAGTCCACTATTTCTGATTTTGTGGACAGAATAATAGTAAATATTCCTAGAATTCGCAGCAGAAACATAACTTCTGTGGATCATTACTACCTAGAACAAAATTGGCGGTTAATAAGAAATATTATGACCGCCTCTGTAGCCCCAATGGTTAAACTCATTGCCTAGCATTAGAGGTCCTGGGTTCGAATCCCAGGGAAACAAAAAATTGTTTCACCGGGCAGGGCACAGAAGTCTGATCAACTACTTGCCTGTGAAGGAACGGATCAGTGAAACGAACCCAAAAATATGTTCGCCCATTGCCCCTTGAAGGGGAAACAGGATATTATTATTATTACAAAAATTTTATAAGTAGGATATGACGTAGCTGTTTTTTATGTCAGAGGAGGACATACAGTCACTTGATGGTAGGTGTAATACCCCATCTATATAAAATCTATGCAAGAGGCGCTGTCGTCCTATTTTTTGGCTTTGGATATTTGGAAACCCAGACTAAGACTAAAACACAATTTAACATCACGCTTTTTCCATCTGTGGACAGTAGTTGTAACCTGAACGGAATTTCGGAATTCCTACCATCCATTCAATATCCAGATATTACAGACAAAGTCCAACAGTTTCAAAAAAAATACTTTAAATATATTAGTAAAACTTATGTGAAAATCGTATATATAACTTCGGCCCGATGTTTAAAGATGCTATGCAGCTGCCGTGGTAACGGGGAGTACAAGTTTATTCACTAAAACTTATATCGCGTTTCAAACCGTTAAAGTATTTTATTTAAATTAGTACTACTCACGCTAAACTAAATGTAAAATTATTTAGTTTAAATAGGGCCACTTCACGGTTTAAACGCGATATAGCCGTTAAAAGGTCATTTTGAAATAAGTTTAACTAAAATATATTGCGTTTTTAACCGTTAAAGTGTTTTATTTAAATGTGTACTACTCGCGTAAACTATAGACAGTATTCAGTATTTAGTTTACCTTTATCTTGAAATTTACGTTATACGAAAAAAAATACGTTTTACAAATTGTTATCGTGTTGGTTTTCTTTTATAGAACAGTACTTTGATTATCTACGTTCCAAGACCATTTTTCCTATACAGTATTGACAATCCACTTCATAATCCGTCTGAGTCACAAGCAGGTGTTCATTTTCTTTCACGTCACGCATTGCTGTTACCCAAAAAGGGAAAAGACTGGCCCAATTCCTTGTATTTCATTGCCAATAAATAAATATCGCCAGAAGTACAACACATACACATTTTTATCTCTGTTATCAGGTATGATAATAGCGGTTATGGAATACTTAAATTCAGGTCGTTTTGCTCACCTGCTAACAATGTTTGCTGACTCTTATATTTTGAACACGCTTAATATTTTTATCTCTTTCTGGTTCTGGAATTAGTAAAGGGGGATCCGATTAAAGAACGAAAAAATATTAAAGCACTATATTTAAATATGGTAGATTATCTCTTGTAAGATCCTGGATTCTATTATGTATATTGTATACCAAGAAAACACAAGGAATATTTAATAGTGAAAAGATAGTCATTAGTTATAATAGGAAATATGCACTTACCGTGTAGTCTCACATTTTCAAAATAGATTAAGTAAAAACGGTTTCATTCACTAAAACTAATGTAACATTTGAACTTATCAACGATAACACAGATATTAATTAAACTTTTTTTTCTATATTTTACGTGCGACGGTCTCTGCCAGATAACATTGTATGAACCAAATCAAACTTATGACGTGTTATCTTTGATAACGATAAGGATTCAGTGGGATTGTCGGTTGATGATTAGGCCGCTTGAAAACAATTTATTTTTAACTTTTACATCAGTCAGGTAAATAATTAGGCAAACTAGTCGTGCTTAAATTACTTTAAAATTGAGTAAATAAAGCAAACAATTAAAATCTATGTAAGTTACGTCATAATAATTATAAACCATTAAAAAAGGTCTTAAAGTATTGTACGTTTCACTTACACACAAATAAAATGCAACGTTATTAGAAGAAAGTATATTATTTACCAATATTATTTTATTTCGTTAAGCGCCATCTATGTTATGGAATGCGTACTAACTATTTTCTATTTGGCAGAGAAAGTAAGAAATACTTAAAGAGATGGTGTACGTTTACGGTATTATAAGCATTACGTCTGTTCATTTTCAAAAACTTTAGAGAAAATACGCATGTATGCATTATCACATTTATGTCATACTTCAACACAACCATTACAACATTAAAGTAAAAACACACATAAATAAATACTAAACAAAGCTTAACTCTAAATCCTAATAAGTAATACAAAACGAAACGGCTCCTTCTTGCTTCAAGACTTCGAGTAGTTCTGTAATTCCATTTCTAAGACGGTGACTCTTCTACATTTTCCCTCGTAGGATTCAATTGTACTGTTCGTCGAATTGACCTCCTGTCTCCAATACGAGGCCTGGTTTCCGTCAGATCACCGATAGACCTAGACCTGCGACTTCTCCTCAAAGTGTCTTCTTCATCAACAAAATCTGGCAGCGAGTGGAACGATGAATTCAAACGTGGTAGTAACAATGCTTCATCATAGCTAGGAGGTAAGTCTTCGCGAAAAGATGTGTTCCTCAAAGTTACTCTGACTTGCTGATCATCCTGTATCGGTGTTACTGGACCGTTTAAGACTGTGGTCTCAGCTGTTTGTCGAGGTGGATCTGGTCTATTGAACACCATTAACCCACGGCAGACTAAAGAGGTAATTAATACTCCTATAATAATACCTATCATTACAGCCATAAATGTGTACTCGGAACCTGTGCTGCCGTCGGCATGCCAAGTTCTGATGTAAGCCTGTTGCCATGTCAGCTGTGTTACGTTTGAAGGGGTGTAACATATAAGTGACGCCTTGTCACTAACTTTAGGGGGGTCTTTTGTCAAAAATTCATATGTGAGCAGCAAGTTAACGCCGAACCCTTCGCAGCTCCACCGGTTTCCCTTCACGTAGACTTCCCTCAAAAATGGGTTTGAGGCAAAGTACGAGGTCGACCAGACTTCCTTGAATCCATTCCCCCTCAAATCTAAAACCGCAAGATGCGGTAGTGACGAGAAAGTACGGTCCGATAGTGATGAGACCTCATTGTAACTCATGTCCAGCTCTTGTAAGGTTTTCGAATGGAAGTTATCGGGGATAGATTCGATTTGATTGATCGATAAGTCGAGTACAACTAGTGACGTCATTTCTGAAGCTGCGTTTGCGCTTAACACAGCAATCTGGCAGTTACTCAGGTGCAAACTTCGAAGCGACTGGGATTGGAACTGCGGTACCGTTAAAAAATAGTTTCTCGATAATATTAATGTATCCATATGTTGAGCTGATGCAAACATGGTAGTGGCAAGGTCGTTCAGCCTGTTTTCAGATAGATCCAAGGATGATAACATTGGGGTCAAGGAGAAGGCGTCCTCGTCTATCCTGTTTATTTTGTTTCTAGAAAGATCCAATCTTTTAAAGTGGACTGTGCTCTCGCTCTTGCGCCAGGCGTCGTAATTGTTGTTTGACAAATTCAGAATTGCCAATGACTGAAAATTTTCTATGTAAGCCGGGAGTGGCGTAGACAGGCGGTTTCCGGACATATCTAGAGTTTGAATTTGAGAAAATTGCTCCAGCTGTCTCGGAAATGAAATGAAGTTGTTGTTTGACAATATCACCACTTTTGCCTGTAACAAATGTTTACATATTTATTTGAGTAAAATCTTATTTCTCATATTGGGGTGAACACATTTCTGTGCTTGGAGATGGATATTACAGACTAAAATTTAATGAAACTTCTGCCCGACCGAAATAATTTATTAATTATCTAAAATTTGAACCTGAGATCTTTTGTGAAATTTTAGGCAATCCGTTTAACCGTTAAACCAGATAGCGTAATTTTCCTTAAATTTATATAAATTAAGTTAGTTGTATCATGAATAATGGTTGCTTAAAGTCAGAGTTAACGTCAAAAATCACAGGGTAAAACGTAAAACCAGAGAAAAACTAAAAACTCTACATACTGTCTATAGTTTACGCAAGTAGTATACATTTATATAGACAATAAAGACTCTACATTTAAATTTACTACCAGTTCCCAAACATATACAGTATGGGTATTCCTGAAAACAGTATTCAGGCCCGAACCCCTTTTCCTATTGTATTATTTTTCAGGAATACTGTCACGATTAACTTAAAAGTTACTTACATCATAACTTGAAATATTGTCGGGCAAGTCGCTTAGACCTCTATCTGAGCAGTCCAAGTGTAAGAGATCTTGTAATGTGTAAGTGCGACAGAGTTCTTCCTGGTAATCCATGACGTCACGAAGGACACCACTCTGTACCTGTGGCAGTAGCCATAACACTGATAATATTAGCCCTACATCTGGAAACAATTTAATCATTATGAGTTAATTCATTTCGGATTTCCAAGGCAAAAATAGCTTCATATGAATTAAAAATCGACTCGACTTGAACCGGCATTCACAACGTTCCGAGCTCTACCCGCGGTTGCTCACTTGGTTGTTGCTGCCGGTTCAAGTCCTGCCCGTGTCTTTTTTTTCAATTTATATATTGCCATCATGTGCAATAACGTGTTGAAAATGTTAAAGTTAAAAAAAGCTTTGACAAAATTGAAGGGTCGGTAATTTTACCTCCCATTAAGGTTATCGTGCAATAATCTTGATAAACAATAATTTAATAATAAATTCTTTAATCACGGAAGTACTCTACATTCCTATCCACTACAATAGTTATAGATTACGATGGAGATGACTAAAATAAGGATAATATTCTATGACAATAAAGTTCTAGAGATCCTGGGTTTAAACCCCGGAAAGGTAAACTGATTAGATGAAAGTCTGATCAATTTCTTGTCTATAAATAAAACGGATCTGCAAAGCAGATATAGAAATGTGTTCGTTTATGCCACTTGCATGCATTAAAACAAGCTTATGTAAACGTTTAGAAGGTACGAAATTATGTCATACAAAATCAATATTTAATTTTGTCATTCCTATTTTTGTGCATTCGTTGTCATTGTTACGTTACTTTTGTTAGCACCAAAGTACCTGCATTAGCAATCTGTTTCCTCATAATTATTATACAAACCTCGATTAGAATAATCCCCATTAATATTGATAAACACGAAACCATTTCTAGGAAACACTTATCTCGCTGTCACGAGGTTCAAAATATAGTATTTAACAAATACTCACCCATTACAGACGTAATTTCTTCCGCATATTATATTGGGGAAAATGTTTATCACATTTTCCAAATAAATACCAGTGTTTAGCACTTAGTGTTTTATTAGACCACAAATTCTATTGTTCGCGAGAGGTTATGTTTTCAACTGAAACGCTATAGTCTTATCTTATACGAAATAATCTTTAAAAATATCTGTATTTACTCGCCCTACCCGTTGAACTGGACAGAAATAAATGGTGTTTCAAAATGATAAAGGTTTTATCGAAAGATAGCTTTACTATCGCAGTGCAACGAAGATTACACGTTCTAATATAAATTGATTATGGTTTAATACCGTTCAAAATGGTAATAAATTAAGAATTTGAGATACGGTTTAGTAGTTAACTACGAGTTGTACCATGCAGAATTACTAACGGTGTCTTAAAACGCAATGTTTGCCGGTTAAATGCTTTTTAACTAGGGATCCCAGGTGTTGTGTAATTTGAGGCCGTCCTCCTTATTGAAATGTCAAGGTGTTTTATATAGATACTTCAATTGCTTACGCGAGTACTAATCTTGGAAAAAAATCGACTTTACCGGTTTAAAAACGCTGGATCATATATTAAACTTGAAAGCATTTTTATCGGCCAAACGTTTCGAAGACAGCGCGTTGAGTCAATTCGGGAAGAATAAAGATCCAGGATAGTCTCTGACGTCAAAGTACAAACTTTGACGGAACAGCTGGCGCCATCTGTTTCGTCAATTTGGTACTTTGGAAACTTCAGAATGACATCCTCTATCTTGTAGTCTCCCCGTTGTACCAGGACTGTTGCAAAGCATGGGAAACGTCGATTTGGCCGAAGATTAGAAAAAACGATTTTCAAATACGTTTAACTAATATATCGCGTTTTAAACCGTTAAAGTGTTTTATTTAAAATATAGATTTTTCAAAACTAATATATTGATGCAACAGTTTTTCAGCATAAGTTTCAATGTTTAGATTTAAGTCAGATCTTAATTTTTATATCGTCTTTTGTTTTGACAAGAAACAACCTGTAGACTTTTTTCCTTATCAAGATAGGATTATCATTGATTAGACACCCATTCACTTATCTCATAACCTAAAGCAACTTTTTCACTTGTAAAAGACGTGAGTCACCTAACACGGACGTGCATTGGGTAAAGTGGAAATTGCAAGTGGGTCACATTTTTGAGTTAGGCTAAGGTCAGAGAATCGCCAAATTTTGCCGTTTATTCTCCATAGAAGTTACTCACTTTAATAACAGAAGCTAAACGCCTATTACTGTATATGTTTCTAATTATAGCCGACGGAATTAAAAATCTATTTAATTTTTTTAAATACGACACGGACGGAACATGCGTCTGTATCTACGGTAACTCATTTGGTTAGAACAGCATCACCGAACGCTGTAGTTACCAGTTCAAGCCCCGCTTGTGTCGTCAATTCTTTCCATCTAAATAGTATGAATTTTTTTAATCCCATCATGAGTGCATGTAAAAATAATAAATATATAAAAAATATATCGGCATACTTACTTTGTAGTCACAGTATATTTATGAAAATGTATTGTATGCCTATAAAAATAAAAGCAAGTTTAGCAAGATAGGCATAATTTGAACTTAAGAATCAAGGATAAACTGGCTATCCTCAAATATAGGCTTCATAAAATAACGAATTAACTCACCAGAAAAATCTGGATATTTAACGACTGTATCATTGAAATTCCGTTAACAAATAGAAAAGCCGTGATGAGGTATTTCGTGTTTCGGCTTCAGTCTCATATATGATTGTTATGATAGAGGACGAAGGACCATAGCAATATCGTACCATTTTGGCTTTAGATGGAAATACACAAACTGGCAGAAGGCATTTTCATATGTGGACGGCGGTTCGTGACTGGGACTGATTGTAAATTCCTACCTCCCATATAATATCCAAATTTCTAGATGAAGTCCAAAATGTTTTAGAATTTGTCTAAATTGTTAAGAAACATTTTAATTACGGTGGGGAACGAACCCAATGTCGGTTGTTTCTTAGCCATAGATTGCTATCATGAGTCAAACTTGTAATAGGCGATTTCGACCTTTTGTCGAGCGAAACCCATGCTCGTCTCTCTGTAAAAAACCTGCTTTTTTCTCGATAATTATCAACCACGTTTACATCAATTGTAATCCTAAGTGCTCCAAGATTAATCTCACCTGGTACAAAAACGTGACATGGCAGTGACGCTTGTCTGAACTCATTACTGCCTCCAACCACCCCCCCCTAACTTCAGGGGGTGGTATTAAGCTCCGTCGATTATACAAACGCTTCAATCAATATCGTTAAAATTTCTCTCTTGTGGGGAATTTTTACTTGTAAAAATGTTACAGAATGTTTTACCAGATTCTTATTCTTTAGAATATACATACATCTGTTTTCGAATATAAATATAAAGCACTTTTAATCAACGGGTTGCGGGTTCCTTTCCAACCAGGTCATAAATGATTTGATACATCTGTTTGCATTTTTCTGATGCATGCTGGACTTAGTCTGGAATATCTGAATATTTAATGGGTGGTGGTTATAACTAATTTTTGTCCGAATCACGAACACCGGCCACAGATGGAAAAGCTGTAAAGATTTAAATAAAACACATTAACCCTGCTCTGTAGTTGGGCCGAAGTTATTTTTTTTTTCAAATAAGTTTAACTAATATATCGCGTTTTAAACCGTTAAAGTGTTTTATTTAAATGTGTACTACTCGTATTTAAACAAAGATCAATATTTTATTGCCGTTTTCCTCATATTTCTCGCTGTTTCGTTCCTATTGGTGATGCGTGCTGCTATAATAGCCTATAGCCTTTCTCTATAAATGCTCTCACCAACCTATGCTAAACCAACATAATATTTCAACAGCATGATGATTCGGATGCCTTTTATTGGCAACCGTTATTTTGCCATTAATTTTGGGAAATTCTTTTATACATTTTTTTGGGTATCGTGAACCGTTTTCGTAGCGTACGCAATGGAAACTCTCAAAGATAAATATAGCCCCTATTAATGTTTTATGGCCTAAAGCCTTTCTTGATAAATGGTCCGATCAACAAAAGAATTTTATTTCAATTCGAACCAGTAGTCCCTGAGAGTAGCGCGTTCAAATAAACTCTACAGCTTTGTATATTAATATATCTATAGAAAAATATATCAGAGCAGTAACATAGACCAAATATAGGATATATAACAGATATAAATGTCTTCCGTGTAAGAGAAACGAGATTTCAGCTCGCTGGTTACATAACTCTAGAAAACATTTACAAAACGTGTAAATTTGAAAACTCCTCATCTTCCATGGAATGTGGTAGTCCAATAAATAAGGATAGAGCCCATTAGAGACGGTCCAGCAAATCTTCGCCCGCCGAACGCCACTTACTTAGACTTAAACTGTTCTAAGAGCTATTTCGTTACAGATTTGGGATTGCGCCGGTCGTTATGAGATGTACGAGGTTGTGATACATGGCTGATAATAATTAATTATTAATATTCTTTATACTTGAAGCCAGTAAATGTCTGAATAATATCGCCGCTAAGTTGAAAAGAAATTTAACATTTAAAAATCGATTAAAAATTGAGCTACAGTGTCACCTCAATTGGTTAGAGCAACAGCAAGGAACGCTGTGGGTGCCGTTTCAAGTCTGCCCGTGTCATATATATTTTTTTAATTTATAATCGATTTATGTATATTATATAGTGCCATCATAACATAAAAAAAAGTTTCTAAACATTTATTTTACGACGAGATCGTTGGTGTAATGGTAGCAAAGTATGGCTAATAAGCAAGGGTTTAATCCCCACCGGGTCCATAATTTTTCTATTCAATTTATAAATTTTCTGAATCACCGAATCATACATGAAGAAGTGTAATCGCGTTTCGGTTACAAACTAAGTTAACTAATATGTTTCGCGTTTTAAACCGTTAAAAGTATTATATTTAAATGCGTCTTGCTTGCGTAAACTACAGACAAATTTTCAACCATTATAAGTATTTTTTTTTGTTCGGAAACAAATTGATTTGCCATATTACAGTACATTCTCAATTTTCAAACAATAAAAAACAGGATAAGTCAAATCGAATATCATTTGCGGGGTTCAGTCGGAACGTCGCTGACCCTTCCATATCTTAATACCCGGGGATCAGAGAAATATAATACGCCGCCGCATTTATTTGTGCCCACTAAGGATTTGGCCTTCATATGTTAAGATGTTTGACCCTTGAAACGAGATGAGGGTAATTTTCTGGCCTCCTTTATCCTGTCTGGCCAATTTCGGGGATAATTGCTTCGCTTGAAGTTCGATTTGCATGCGATATTTTACAAGTGATTGGAGATTTTGAATTTAAATAAAATAACGGTTTAAAACGACAACTATGTCATTTATATCACACTGAGGATTAATTAGTGAAATGCTTTTTAACTACTGACATTTAAACGGTGTAAAGCGCAATATATATTAACCAGCTGCCAGACAAACAGACAAGCTGACAGACAGAAGTCTTAGTACTGTTTTAGCCTTCCCGTACAGAACACGTGTTATAGTCGCACCTACAGACCAACTCTGTAGCTAAATCGTAAAATGTGCCATGGTGTTAAGCACGGGAGGTTCTAGGTTCAAATCCCGAGACATCAACGAAATCTTTCGGTCGGGCAGGGTAGTCTTATCAACTACTCGTCTGTAAATTGAACTGAACACAGAAATGTGTTCGCCCTATGCCCCATGAGGGAAATGCACTTCATCACGCTTAAGGCCCTTCTTCAAGAAGGCAAAATGCAGATGTTCGATCACCAATTGAACATGTACGTTCACCATTATGATTGAAGTTACCCCATTCAGGGGTTTATTGTCTCTCAATCCGCTGCTTCCATCGTTCTCAGCCTCAAACGCCAATCCTTTTACCATAGGTAGGGACGAAAGATGTCGATAAATTTTCTCCATAATATTAAGTCAAAGTTAAAATATTTAAGAACTTATGAAC